ATTAGTGTGACTAGGCGTATACACTCATAGGCATGAGTAATAGTCCTCTCTTACACCCAGCTGTGTTTATATGTACAGCTATAGCAAGGACCTCGAGCGAATGGCTTCCACTGGATATCCAGGTAGTTTTGGATGTGGATGACAAGTGGTCTATCGTTCGTCGTCTAAAAATTCGAATCAGTTAAAATTAGCAAAATTAGCGGATCCTGCCGATAGAGATCCTATCTCAGAAAATGGCTCACATAATATAGCGTGCACTCGAACCACGACGTCGTTGCTGTCAATGACTTGACTTCGTACTACAATTCGTACTACTGGAGTATGTCCACACTCGTCCAGCAGTCCTACGATCATTCGAATGGAAGATTGGTCGCTATGTGATCCCAACTTGTTTTTACGGACTCATTTAGGATTCCAGCTTCGACATGGCACGGCTTTCGTGTTGTTCTTGTCGACTGAGATTGTTCGTCGAAGCAACGCTGAGGATAAATGCTCTGGGGTCACTAGCGTTAATCTGTTATCATCTTACACTGTCGAATCGATATCGCAGGGTTTGTGTGGTGCATGTTAACTGAATAAACAGTTGATTTCGACTAAATTATGGCTCTGCGGGCGAAAGATGCCGACTTCGAAAACTTTGCTTCCCAGGCCAGGTCTCTGTTGGGTAGAAGATGGGCAGACGGCGCCTCACTCATCAGTAGTTATACTATATTGAGTAGGTAACGATTTGACTGACGACTGGCTACAGGAAATGTGGAGTGGTGCAGATGGTGATCTTAATCGGGCATTGAATCATGTAATAGGCACGGACGGGATCGCAAGGCCGGAAACACTCGATAATTAGGTTCTAGATTCCCCACCTGATAAAGTTGGTCGCTCTGGAGGGTAGAACGTTACTCGATGGAGCGGTTCCTGTTTACACCCAACTTTGCAGGTCAGTTAATGCCGCACCAGTGGCGTCCACCAAGGCCAAGTCCCCGAAGAAAAAGAAGCATTCGAAATCTGCTGCTGCTGCTCCTCGGCCAGCACCTCCGGCCCCAGCATGGGATGACGAGTGGGGGTGCAACTTGGTGGTTATGGTAGCATTGTTGTGTATTAGATACGATGATCCCTTCTTTTCGGCCCCTGCCCCTGTTCCGACATCAGCAGCTCCTGTGCCACCACCACCACCAGAACCCGTCACGATGCAACAGCAACCACCTGCACCACAGGGGGTATCTTCGATTATTAGGCGTTGTTGTATCATCAAGGCTCGATTCGCAGATGTCATCTCAGCAAATGGCTGCACCTTCTAGTGCACCGCAGCTAATGGGCCCCCAGATGGGTATGCAATATCAACAGGTTCCATATCCCTCTGCTACTCAGCAGCAATCTCCCCAGATGATGCAAACCATGCCTACCATGCCCTCGGTAAGCAGGCGGAAGTCAGCTACCTGGAGGAGGTCGTCAATGTTACGCTTTACTTAGGCTTATGGCATGATGGATAATACTCCTATGAATACAGCTCCTAATCCAGGCATGGCGGCGTCTTTGCAACATCAGCAACGCATGCAATTCGTAAAGAACTAGGCAAGCTCTCTTCCCAATTGAAGGGTTATTAGATACAATCTCAGCAACAGCAAGTACTCATTACACTGAAAACACAGCTAGACACGGTAGGTCTCGTGATTGAAACGACCCACTCGCCGACCCACTTGTTTATGTTCGCTCTGCAGGTGCTGGCTAATCCTAACCTCTTGCAGGACGTTGCAGCAATGCATCAATTAAAGGACACAATGAGTGTAGTATACCAGGAGTTATGCCTTATAGATAGTTCTATTCGGACAGATGGCCATGGAGGCACCTAATGCTACGATACAAATGGATGAGCAAACCAGACAGAATGAACAAGCAGCACAATTCATCAGATTCATGCAGGTGGTGATCAGCAACATACCTATTCTGTCTGTCACCTTGATATCGTTTTTTGTTATATCTCTCTCAGAGCCAGATTTCTGAAATGTTAACGAATCCCCGAGTAGCCTCTAATCCCGAGCTCCTCCAACAGTTGAATACCCAGATGAACCAACTACGCTTGATCACAATGCAGCAGGTAAGTTATTTTATTCGGATCATCCGCCTCATGCTTGTACGTCTCTTACAGGTTGCATCTGAACAGTTGTCAACCAATCCTGTCACAGCCTTGAGTTTGGCTACTGCGCCCAACTCTGGCGCCAAGACTCTCACTACTGATGATATACGAAGCATTTTGGAAAGTACTATCTTGACCACTAGATGTATGCTAGAAAACATCGTCATGTGCTACTACACTCCAGCATACAATTCACGCATACAAGACGTGTTATCGTTATATGATTACCGTGTCCGCATAGGAGGATCTTACTGCAGGTGCAATGCTCGATTCGGAGAGTGAGGATAGTGAAGATGATGAGGATAGTGAAGAGGGTGCGGGGGGATCCGATGATGCTACTGAGTGGTGGGGCGATGATATCGCGAGGAAAGGAGGTAAAGGAGATATGATGCAGAATGAGAAGCATGTTAGCTTTGGAGAGGGCTCTCCGAAGAAGGGTTGCATGAAGGTATTATACTGGCTAACAACTCTTGGTCACTCGGTTTCGCTACATATGTTCAAACGTATTAAATGCTTTTAGAAGGGGTCCGATCCGTCTTTGTCGGAGAGTAACCCTTTCAAAGAGCCAGAGGGTGAGGACGAGACCATTCCTGGGGACAAAAAGCTCCGAAACTCGTCCCGTACACTGAGGAAAGGTACTTAGTGCTGCTGCTGCTGCTGCTGCTGCTTGTGACTCAATGTCAATCATAGGACGCAAGACTTCGAGAAAGAGTGGTTCTTCTGATGAGAAGAGCCTTACCAAATGGATGAAGCAATTGATGGCTGCTCAGTCCCAGTTGGGTAAGTTGTTGCAATTGTGCCTTGTAGCTAGTTATGCTCGCCTCACTGATCCGTCTTCTCTATCGTGCAGGATCATCTGCTAGCATGCCGTCCAATACCGTCTTTCCTAATAATAGCACTCCGGTACGTAGTCTCTTCCGCTTGAATGTTCCACCTATGCATCACTAGGTTCTACCTAGCGTCTACCATATGAGTCAAGGCGCAGCTCCCCTACCAATGCAAAGTATGCCCACTGTTATGCCGCCCAATGGATATCCAGTCCCATCGACTGCAATCGGCGGGGTACCTCCAATGACAACCTACCCTAATCCTCCTACACCTTATCCTCAACAGCAGCAACCACCCTACTATTAAAGGACCAAGGATCGAGATGTTTTGATGCTAACAATCTTTCATTTTGTATGTCTACCTTTGGGCGAGTATTGTGTGCACTCTATGCTCTAGAAGGGTAACAGATTGATAAGCTGGTGCCTAGCAATATCACCACTTAGTAGATGTCTGGTCTATTGTCCGCAATCACGCTTCCCAACCGTTAAGTGCGTACTGCTTCAGTGATTTTTTCTGTACTTTTCCCTCGATAAAAAAATTGCTTTGCGTCGGTGTTTCTGAGGTGGACTAATGAATGACTAATACTCAGTTTTTTGGTGCTCATAACAGCTATGTGGCGTCAGGCTGCTAAGGTCTCCTATAACCAGTAACGATGATGGTGACCTCATTGTGACATCAGGATCTCATCTTTAAGGTACACGAATGAGATGGCTGTGCTGCTACGTAAATGCCTCAAAGAGCCATTTAGAAGCCAGGCTATGAAGAGCACTGGAGTAAGTCATCTTCCCTTTTATCATCACGGTTTCCTCAGCACGTTTACTCAATCCCAATCTTACTAGGTCCAGTTTCGAGAGAAGTGGTTCGCGAACGGGACCGAGGTCTCACGAAATGAAATTAAAGACCTTGACGGAGCTTTCAGGTAATATACTCTACCTGTGATCAAGGTTATCGTCGTCGGCACGATCCCCCCTTTTAGGTTCGCTGCGAATCCTAGCTCCCTCACCAAGTGAGCCGCGAATCGGATTGGTATTATTGCCTAGAGAACAAGGATCACAAGATTATCAAAGGACTACACTCCTACCAAGTTGGTTTCTGCACTTAGTGTCGTGTTATGTAGTTCATTGTCTGGGTGATCATTAGACCCGATTCCTGCTGTCTTAGGTAGCCATTTTTTCAGCCTCCCTAGGTTTGTCCTGTTTCTGATGGTTCCTCGTGTGATACAATGGCATCTTTGGGAGCTCATCGCCGACAACAACGGTGGCAGGATTGCTATCTTTGGCGTCTTATCGAGTCGTGGTTCGTGATGGGGCATATGTTATGTTCACCATAAGTATTGAGATAGTATACAATCGCTCAAGTATCTGAACGGTGATTGATGCTGCTGCTGATCGGCTCCACCGCGTGGCTTGCGCTCATAGCGATGTAGATGTTTCGGGCAGTAAGTGAGAAACGAGTACCGGGCAAGGCTTCGACGATGAGCGGGGCGTGGCGGAAGGTAGGCTGTGCTTGTCCAACTCGTCGCATGGACGCTCGTTGGAGGAGTAGATCGGCTGGCTTCGGATTAGGGGAATAATGATTGCATGATACCAGCAGATCTTGATCCCTTTCCAAGTGCGTGATGTTTCATCTGATGTATCTAATCGAGTTTCAAGGTCCTGCACTGTAAACGTCATTTGAGTAACTCACTCTAATGATAATCTCGCCCGCCTGATTGGTAAATCGCTCGTCCTTGGCAAGATGCTTTGCCCGACTGAAACTCTTTCGCTTGGAGCTTCTTCGTTTCATGGGTCAGTTTCGTTTTCAAGTATCCTCAAATGACTGAGAAGGTTCGCGTCTCTCATATTTTATGTAAGCATACAGGCTCGAGGAATCCTGTTTCGAGAAGAACGTGTCATGACATTAGTATTTCTCATGACGAGGCATTGAAAGAAATTAAAGGTCGGTCTGGTTACGTGGTGGTGTAGTCTTTCATCAATTGCTCTGTATGTCTTCAGATATGATTGAGAAGCTCAAGGCTGATAAAAGTCTTTTCCCCGAGATGGCCATGGCAAGGAGCGATTGTGGTTCGTATAAGAACGGCGGGGATCTTGGATATTTCGATAGGTAGTCCATAACGACGATAACTCAGACTTATTGTCAATTCTGGATTGCTTACCTCAGGGGTGAAATGCAACGGCCCTTTGAGGAAGCCGCCTTCAGTCTGGAGGTTGGCGAGCTGAGTGGACCCGTGGAAACAGAGTCTGGGGTGAGCAATACAACTAAAGACCCTTACAGGAAGGGCCCTCTTCATCGGAATAGATTCGTGTATGTAGGTCCACGTGCTCCTCCGCACCGGTTGATAGCTCCAGTAGGATAATATCCCGTGAGTTTTTTGCTGTAGTTTACTATTTCATCGTGGTAGAGCATGTTGTGTTTCGAACGTAGGGTAATTAAGGGACGCAAGGAACCAGTGACAAATGGGGTGTTACAGATTACGTGCTGAACATTGCGAGTTGAAAAAGTCCGCTCTTACGGTCGCATAATGAACACTGCCTTAATAGTTCGTTACTCACCATCAAGGTGATTTGAATATCTCATTCAACGTTGAATGGTCACTTTGGAATGTGCCCCGTGCTTGTTCATAAAACTCAATGCGGTTACTTGCATTAATGTTGTCAGATAGCATGGAGTACGATATGCATTACATGCATTACAAAGTTATTCAATTGGCTTGATCTCGAAGTTCTTGAACGTATCTAGAGGTCTTCGATCCTCAACAACATCCGCCTGAGCAACATACATACATAGAGCTCTAGCACGAGGCAACTTACCGCGACTGCTATGCTCTCAACTCCAGATTCATCCATACCTCGAGCTAAACGTAGGTATCCATCTTCTCCCCACTCAGGACCCCAGGAATTCTAACACCGAGCGGATATTAGAACACATTTTTGGTGTTGTCCTTGAAGCTCGTATAAGCATACAAGCCCCACTTGTATGAGCCAATAATCTTCCCCATTATCTACGCCGTATCCTATCAATAGGACGGAATGGCCAACCTCTTCCCATTCGGGACCTAAGTTGAGTTACTCAGGATTCAGACATGAGTAGATTACGATGATAGCTGTCTCGTTCCAGGTCGCTTCGGTAAACTCCGCTTCTGTAGTACATCATGTCATGTGCTGGTTTTATAGACACCACAAGAGGGCCGTCATCGACCAATTCTTTCATTATCTGATGGGAATGAGGCCAAGCTATGATCAGCAGGAATGCTTCAGCGACCAATGCCACATGGCTCGATACTGACCTGGGCTGAGGAGGTGATGCCACCATAGTATCCACCAACATAATGATAGTTTGATACCCGGTATTTGGGTAAAGAGGATGGATCACATGTTATCTCACACTTCCCGTTCTCTGCTGTATATCTCGAATGGATGAAGACCATCGACAATACCACAAACGAACGATGGCCCTACTCGGCACACGAGGTTGGTAAGAGGCCGACATCAGAAGACCATTTACTCGTTAGGAAGGAGAATCCACCATCACAGCCTTGGTTATACTCGGCACAGTACAGAGGGAAACTAAAAGGCGAACAATCGACATCTAGCTACTTCACACACATATACGATATGCTCCATGGGACCGCAGTGATATTTCGGGTATGTATCTTGTGCCTGGCTGACAGCATGCGCATAGTTGCAATCGCGTAGCATGATCCACAGGAGCCTTGATTCATCACGGGTTCAATGTAGTTCACACCTACAAACTCGGTAATCGATACAGGTGCCATCACGCACACCTTCAACGTTCCTCCAATCCAGACTGTCGGGGAGTGTGCCTTCTGTATTCGACAGCTCCGAGTCTACCAAAGACGTGTGATGTAGTGCCGTGCGCCCTCGTCGACGTTCCTAACAAAGGCTCCAATGTGAGGTGGGTAACTGCGAAGATTGGCACAAACCGAATTTTCTGGAGGCGGCTGTCGTGGTCAACATTTGCGTCCTCCGAATGAAACTTCATCCTCAACCCCGACATTCTGTTGAGCTCCCGCAGGGACTTTCCAACAAGCCATGCATAGGTAGCCGCCTTCCATGTGGCACCAGGTCTACTGTTCAAACTTGCGACCTGAGGGGCCGATTGATCCAGGTGTAGTTGCGCATCTGAGTCTTACAACTGCTGAATGGTAATCCATTCCCAAGGGCTTATCGTATATTGGCGTGAATTCTTGCACCTCGACTTCGCCAAAAGACGTGCTCAATCTAACCTATGGGTCGTGTAGAAATGCTTCCTGCTATGGCACAAACTATTCGCATCAACACTCTCCATGATGAGCTAAGACGAAGTACTCGTATTGAATGTTACTTTTCGGCCATAGAAACATCCGAACTCAGTTTGATCGGTTGTTGTGAACCATCCTAGCATGGTTCTATCACAGTGTGAGATATTGTGCTGGCGACCATCATCATCCCAAGACAAATCAAAGTTAGAAAAGGCGAAGAATACTTTATCGTCTATTCGTGTCTGAAACAGAGATGGTCATCCCAGTGGCATCACTGCATCATGCCAGCCTACTTCAAATCCCTCATCGTATACCATCGTCCAGTTGCCACTGACCATTGGATCGGATGACATAGTAACTCTATT